TTTGTAGATATGATAAAGGAGTCCTAAACTATCTATCTCACAGAATCGACTTTTTGTGCAACAATTGTAACGGATAAAATGTATGGGAAGTTGATAAACAGTACTATAGAGTGTGTCTAATATCTATACTAACCGATTTATAGTAAACAGTAGCACATGTATACTGAAGTCATGATGTGTTAATCAGGATGTGCAGTAAATATTGGACACATTCCAAGTTTGTGTCTGCGATAATACAATCTCGGCCCAGAGCGATAAAATATACTGGCCTAGATACAAATGTATGAGGATGTCGAGTCAGGACATGACACAAATAGATACAAAAATTCTGTAGACGCGAAACGAAACTTCCTAATTCTGCGTAAATATGTATATTCTCGTCTCTTTTTCACTTTTAGGAACGTATTGTTCTAAAAATATGTCACTTCAACTACTTCCGGAAGAGTTCCTGGAAGTTCCAGTTGTCCACTTATCGTCTGTCGTGATGCAATTTCAACTGGAAATGAAACCGTAAACGACGACGTATTGTCAAGCAAATTACTTCTTGTAGAAATCGTCATTAAACAGTGGTGAAACAAGTGAGAAGAAGCTGAATTCAAGACGATATTACTCATGCTAACGTATACATGTATACATGTACACGCACAATACATGTATCTATGAACCTATGGGTACTTGGGTACAGAAAAGGTCTTCATTCATTCAGTAGAATCGTTGGTATAGAAATCCTTATGAAGTACAACCAATGTACCACATTCTGAGTTGCGTTACTTTGTACAGACTACACAGGTGATTTCCCGCCCAGCGATGTAAGGACCACACGGCAGAGAGCCACACGCGGCTTCCACCAGATAGAACAGGGCGCCATCTTTGCTCTCGTAGGTGCCGATCGCCACATCCGGGTTCTTGTCTACGCAGACGAACTCTGTGCGTCCTTGGTGCGTCTCGTGGGCACTCATCAGATAACCCTGGTACTCCTTGTGCCAATCTGTTATGGAGAATCACACAAGAATGAAATACGGCAAGGCGGTCAGAGATGGCATGCTTCACACGGTCACAGGTAAGCGTCCTCTGGCTAGAACTGAAGAAACTGCAGTTCCCTAAAGAAGGTCTTTCTTCCCCTCTCTCTGACGTTCTATGAAAACAATATTTGCCAGCGTATTGTGTAATACAAATTACGTACTCTGACCTGATGGTGAGTATGCTAATCAAAACACAGAAAAACATTCCTCACCGTTAGGACATGCCGTCCGTGCGGGGATCATGACGGTACTGGACCGGACCTGAGCCCGACAGACGGCGCACGGCACGTCGTAGTCCGCCACCGTAGCGATCCCCTCGGCATTGACCGTGGAGAAGAAGTCGTCCTGCCCGTGGATTTGGAACTCTGAGCCGTACAGGAAGTTCTTCGTCTGCAGAAATGGATTATAAATATACATGAAGATGAAAAGACCGCAACTCAATCATTAGTGGAATTGCTAACGTGTAAGCATTTTCACAATGGTCCTAAATGTATAATGCATGGGATATCACATGCCAATATATACTTGAATTTGCTATTTAAATCCTTTGAGAGAAATCATGGTACAGAAGATGATCGATACACATGTATTGTTATATGTTACAAACCTGAGGGGCATCCTTGAAGTGATCCCATGATACATTGCGAGTTGGGAGACACAGGTAGTTGGAGCCGCCGCCATGTTTGGTGTAGTGGGACCCTCCTGCCACGCCTTTTGTTAACACGGTAGAAAGAATACACATCTGAGACTTATCATATAAAAAGCATTAAAGAAAGGCAAATTACGTTGAAGTATTTGTGTGCATAAGAATTACACTTCATGAGGGCACACGCACGCACGCACGCACACGCACGCACGCACGCAAGCACACACACACACACACACACACACACACACACACACACACACACACACACACACACACACACACACACACACACACACACACACACACACACACACACACACTACTACGTACGTACGTA